GAAGAGGCAATCTTTCATAACCTAATCTTGGAAGTGATACACTATCCCTTCTGCTATACTGGTGTATGCTGGGAAAAGACGATACAGGGATTTAAACACCACAAGAGACAGGGTCACTGGGGCCACCTTGGAGGTGGGCTACCACACCTGGAGAGAAACATCAAGGAAGAAACTAGGCCAGAGGTATCTCCAGAAGCATAAGTACTGATAAACTGGCAGCAAAACAACAAGGCAACAACCTTCTATCTTGCTTTTCATCATAAGGAACAAATTTAATGGCAGTGATTAATTTAATTGTTAGTTTAATCCAATTTAATAGTTACTAATTTAATAGTAAGGCAAATATACACAAGTTTCAAATATTCTGTAAAATATAGATCTCATAATTAAAATACAGAACTGCAAAAAAAAAAAAAAGTTAGTGAAGCTTTTTAACACCCAATCAGAGGGTTTGAAACTGAATTACCATCTACTCCATGCCTGCCTTCAGGGAAGACCCCACTCAAGCTATCAAGGACAAACGAGAATGTATGTTTCTTAGAATAAGGTGATTAAACAAATCCTTTCCATGATTCATTACACTAATTAAGAACTCATTTGTATTTAACCTAATTTCTCATAATAATGAATAGAGATTCTTTTCTCTACCGATTGAAAGTGAGTTTAAATTGCATGTACTTATTGTTTTAGTAATTGCGCATTATCAGTTCTCTCCCACATCACCTTTTACAATGTCTTTGTGACTACTATGCATATTTATGCGTAGGACTGTATTTTTCTAACCTCTAGTACCCAGAACATTTTCTAGTAGACGATAGGTGCTCACTTGTTGAAAGTGACTGAATAAAATCCCTTGAAGAGAGAAATGAGTCAGACTTGGTCAGTGAGATTGTTCCATGGGGCCTGGAGAGCAGGAGTCCATGTCATGACTATTACTGAGGGTGAATATAGGAGCTGAGCTGGAAGCTATGAAGAAGTGATGACAGTAAAGGAGGGTAGACCAGCAGATATTCCAAGGGAACAAAGACGATATTACAATAGAGGTGCAAAGCTAAGGGCCTGAGGATATGTGGGGGGCCAGCATCAGTGAGTCCAGAGCAATTAGTGGCAGTGGTGGAGTGGTTGGCTGGACTACTGTTAAAATTATTCGTAGTAATAATTGATAAGGGTATAGCAGAATCTTATCAAATGAGATGGTTATATTAAAATATGTATTATATATATTTATATATATGTGTATATAAATATATATTATATTTATTTTTTTAAAGCCCTTAAATCTGCAGTCCCCAATCCCTGGGCCACAGACTGGTACCAGTCTGTGACTTGTTAGAAACCGGGCTACACAGTAGGAGGTGGCAGAGGGGTGAGCAAGCAAAATTTCATCTGTATTTACAGCCACTCCCCATTGCTCACATCACCATATAAGCTCTGCCTCCTGTCAGGTCAGCAGCAGCGTTCGATTCTCATAGGAGCATGAACCCTACCGTACACTGTGTGTGCAGCATGCGAGGAATCTAGGATGTGTGCTCCTTATGAGAATCTAATGCCTGATGATCTGAGGTGGAGCTGAGGGGGTGATGCTAGCGCTGGGGAGCAGCTGCAAATACAGATTATCATTAGCAGAGAGGTTTGACTACACAATAAACGTGGTACGCTTGAATCAGCCTGAAACCATCCCCCAAGCCTGGTCTGTGGAAAAACTGTCTTCCATAAAACCATTCCCTGGTACCAAAAAGGTTAGGGCTACTGCCTTAAATCACTCAGAAAGCACAATACCATGGTTTGATAAATGGAATGCCAAAATATTTGTGCAAAAATTCATAATGTGTACAGTAATGAATACTATGTAATAAAGCATATTTATACAAACATGATTTGACAGAATTTTTAATTATAAGAGACTGTTGCACATGAGCAAGCTGAAATTCTTTGTCATTTAGATACCCTCTTTATGGGGAAGATTTGAATGGCATTTAGGGGCTCTTTGTCCTATAACCTTTGCCATCAAAAGGCACATGTATACAGTCTGTGTATTCCGTTCGTGTCATTAAAGTCTCACTTATCAACTTGGGTCATCATATTAGTACCTTAAAGAATATGTGAGAAGGAGGTGCCATATCTCTCAACATAAATAGTGTGCATATACCAACCAAACATTGATATACAGACCAACATAATAGATTCTGAATCAAAAAAGCATTATTAAATATAAAATCTCAGCATGGTATTAAAATAGTCAATTCACCAGAAAGATGTATCAAAAAAAAAAGTTGACAGAAATCCAAGGAGGGGTTGGTGGGGCAGCTCTCAAAGTGGCAATATTATCATTCCTCTCTTGAGAATTAATAGATTAATGGGACAAATTGAGAATTAGATAGAAGAATGAGCCAGTACAATTAACAAGGTTAATGCAACTAATATATGTTGTACTCTACAGTAAATAATTTGGGGCTTACATAAAGCATCTTATATTTATAACAATTTATTTTAAGCTGATAACAACTTCAATCACACACAAAAACAGTGTACTTCTACTTCTCCCCCTCCTCATTTTGTTATTGATGTCACAAATTACATCTTTTCATATTATTTATCCATTACTTATCCATTTATCCATTAACATATGTTATAGCTATTTCTTATACTTTTGTCTTTGAAATTCTATACCAGAGTTAAAAGTGATTTATGTACCACCATTATAGTATTCGATATTCATCTATATATTTATCTTTGTCAGTGACTTTTATATTTTCCGATGCTTTTGTGTTTCTCTGTAGCACTCTTTCATTTCAACTGAAAGGACTCTGATTAGTATTTCTTGTAAGGCTGGTCTAGAGGTGATGAATTCCCTCAGCTTTTGTTTATCTCAGAGTATCTTTATTTCCCTTTCATTTTTGAAGGATAATTTTACCAAATTTAGTTTTCTTAATTGGCATTATTTTTTCTCTCTTTCAGCACTTTGAATATGTCATCCCACTCCCATCTGGCTTACAAGGTTTCTACTGAAAAATCCACTGATGATCTTATTGTCATTACCTTGAATATGATGAGTCACTTTCTCTACCTGCTTTTAAAATTCTCTCTTTGTCTTTGACTTTTGAAAATTTGATTGTAATATGTTTCTGTGGGATTTTCTTTAGGTTCATCATAGTTGGTATCTAGGTTCATCATAGTTGGTATCTATTTGGCTTCCTCAATCTGGATGTCCATTTCCTTCCCAAGATTTGGGAAGTTTTAGGTCTTAATTTTTTCAAATAAGTTTTCTTATTTGTTCTTGTTCTTGTTCTTATTCTGAAAATCCCATAAGGTCTATATTGGCCTTGATAGTGCCCATAACTCCCTTAGTCTTTCTCCATTGCTTTTTACTTTTTGCTTCTCTGACTGGATAATTTCAAATTACTTGTCTTCAAGCTTATTGCTTACTTTTTCTCCTTTGATCAATATTGCTTTTGAATCTGTGTAGTGAATTTTTCAATTCAATTATTGTACTTTTTAGCTCTAAAACTTTGTTAAGTTCTTTTTTTCGTAATATTTTGTCTGTCTTTGTTGATATTTTCATTTAGTTCATGTAACATTTTCTGGAGTTCGTCGAGCATGTTTATGATGTTTTTCTGGAATTCTTTGTTATGTGATTCGTATAGTTTTATTTCTTTAGGATTGATTTATTTTGTTCCTTTGGTAGGGCCATGATTCCCTGTTTCTTTGTGTGCCTTATTACTTTATGTTGGGATCTATGCATTTGAAAAAACAGCTAAGTCTCCCACACTTTAAAAACTGGCTTCATACAGAGAAAGAACTTTGACAGTCAGCCCTAGAGATTCTGGGGGCCTCTCAAACGTTTTACATGGGTGTATCTTCTGTCTAGTTGTGCTTGTAAATTCCCAATTGGAGATATTTTGCTGGTTTCTTTTTTCTGGAGCTCATAGTATCTTCCTCCCTCTGGTGTCCACCTTTGGTACTGCAGGCTCTTTGAAACAAGCTCTTTTTGTTTTCAGTGGTGCCTCTGTAACTAGAGTATGCTGGGTCCCATCAGTGCTGGTGAGGCAGAAACCAGTCCCTCAGGCAGTCCTCTCAAAAGCTGAAAAGTTGGATATATGCTCCACTCTTCCCTGCCTTGCTTTAGGGAGAGACTGACAAGCTGTACAGTCCTCTGTCTGATGTACCACAAGCCCTCTGGAACAATAACAAGCCACTCAGCTCTTTTGTATTCTTAGCAGTCCTCAGGAATGTAGAGTATTCCAGCTCCTATCAATGCTCCAAGACAGTCAAGACAAAACCTATTTCCTCTGGCAGCTCCTCACACAGCTGGAATGTTGGACACATGATCCAACTCTTTCCCTCACCAAGGAGAAGACAAGAGGTGGAAGTTTTTACCACTCATTCTATGCTGAGGTGGGGGACAGGGAATGGCAAGTGAGTGAGTACATGCTAGTTCTGACCATTCTTTTTGCTGTGAGTAGCCCTCAACCTAGTGCCACTTCCTGTCAGCATTTCAATCCAGGCAAGACAGAAACTAGTTCCTTGGGTAGCCCTCCCCAGAAGTCTGGGTGTTAGAAGTATGCCCCAGTCTTCTCTTTTCCTCCCTAGGGGGAAGCCAGGAGTAGAAAGTCTTCTCCTAATCACGCCACGTTGTGCCAACAGTAGACACTCTGGCAAGCGAGTGTCATGAATTTTCCTACTAGCTTAGACATGGCTACTTGTAAATTCACCTGAGATACAGGAGCCTCTTAACTGGTTTCTCAACTTCTCATAAAAGGACTTCGTCAGTATATTGTTAAATTTCTGTGTCCGTGGAAAACGAGTTATCTTGGGGCTTCCTATTCTACAACCTTGTTGACATACTCAACATAAATTCTTAAAACAAGTTTTAAAGCATGTATTATATAAGCAAATATCATTTTATCATTTGACTTTTGACTGTAAAAATAATTGAACCATACAGAAAGCTGATTTCTTTAAAGTGCTAAGCATAATGAATCAATGTTGTTTCTTTTTAGCTATAAAGCCTTTTCTTTTTCCTGTTGGCTTTCATATGCTGGAAAGAAGCTGTGCCAAGTGAGAAACTACAGAAATATCCCAGTCAAAAAATCATTTTTTTTCTTGGTCAACTGGAATGAAACGTAAGTTTAATCTTTATTCTGTCTGGATAATTTATCTAATAAAGGTCATCTTTTTATGCCTTTTTTTTTTCAACAAAGGATGTGATTAAAAATATAAATATATGCTGCCAGTTGATTTGATTCAGTGGTGCGATAAATATGCTAGGCCTAGTAGATAACTGACTATTCAATTCAACAGATTAAAGGTCTATTTAAAAACCTAGACAAATGTCCAATCCACATTATTGAACTGAGAAAAATGGGAAATTGGAAAAAGCAGATGACTTATTAATCATTCATGCACTGTGGACATCAGGAATATGCTCTGTTTGAGGTGGGGATGGGGGAAAGTCCAGATATAACAAAAAAGAGAGAAATCACCTAATAATATGTGTAATCTTTATTTTCTCAATTTTCTCAAACAAGCCGATTACAAATTTATTTAAACAATTGAGTTTGGGGGCAATAAACATCTATGTATTGTGTAAACTAATACTTACTTTGGGGTGACTGGCTCCTACTTCCTCCTTTTGTAAAGAAGGTACTTTACCTTCTTGATACTATTCCCACCCTCCTCCTCTTTTTCATTCCCCCTCCCAGCTTGAGCCGTCTCTTTACTCAGAATTTTAGGGAGCTCATAGGCCTCCCCCGTGGATTTTTCATGACTACTACTCTATTTCCTCACTACTCCTATGACACGACATCACTAGCTGCTCTCAGTCATTTCTCTGGGGTCTCTACTGCTTCACTGAGATCAATATTCTTCCCACTTTGAGTAGAATAAAATTCCCCATCCTGCTCTTCCTCAGATCTTTTAGAAGATCTGGCTTTCTTAGAAGGTAATTTGACTCCTAGTGTTGTGCTTTCCCTTTGATAAATATGTGTCAAAATTTTTAAAAGTCAGAAAATAATGTTAAATAACACCATCTATCATACTCTTAGCATCACCACAACCAATGGAGACTGTGTACTGAGACATAGTATGTGGTCTTCAATTTTCACATACTTCATGGTCTCTCCCATCCCAAACCAAATCCTCCTTCTAAGACTGTGACAATCTTTATCTCCCCTTCGTCCTGACCAGAGGTGGGGAACCTGCAGCATTAAGGTCATATGTGATCTTCTAGGTCCGTAAGTGTGGCCTTTTGACTGAATCCAAATTTTACAAAACAAATCCTTTTATGTTTGTTAATATATTTTTGTTCATCTTTTATATTTTTATTTTATGTTTTAGATGAACCTATTTAAGATATCAAAGAATAAAGTCAGTTTCAAAAAAATCCTCCCAGATTGACTGGCACAATTAGAACATTGGTAAGCCATAACAGCTAAATTGACGGCTGCTACACTCGTGATTTAGTTCTAACTTCCCCCGCCTGACTGGGGCCACTATCGCATGAGACTGGTTAGCGAGAGTTTACGGGGATTGAGCACACCAGTGTGTTATCAGCTTTTGACAAGGATGCACCGTGTTTCTGTTTGAAGTGGAATTTGTGAATAGTTGCGTAGCTCGACAGTATTTTTTAATTCTGTCTGCTTAACAGCCTGTCTTGTCAAAGAAGACCGAGAGAACACTGAAGGAAGAAAACGGATTTTTTAATGAGGATTGGGAATTGCAATATTATCTTGTTTCTGCTACAGATAAGATGACCTGCTTGCTTTGTGATACTACAATTTCAACATTAAAGAAATTCAATGCTCATCAGCATGGTAACACTCATAAGGACTACAAATATTTTAGATTAGAGGGAGAGGTGCAAAAAGTTGTATTGCAGAAATTAAAAGATGAAAAGCAAAAGCAAAGACAATTCTTTCAATAGCAATAAGTCCTGGAAATAATGCTCCTGTAGCAACTTACAAAGTAGCATATGTACTTGGGGTGGGTGGGGAGAGGAAGACATTCAGTGGTGTTAAAATTGTGAAAGAATGCATTGTCGAAGTTGGAGGATGCTTAGACCCTGATAACGTTTCCAAGTACAAACAACTGCCTCTTTCAAGGAGAACCATAACTGATTGGCAGCATGAATGAGTCTTCAACTTAACAACTTTGTGCAATATTCAAAAGCAAAATATATATTATTCAATTGCTTTGGATGAATCAAATGACACTACTGACTTGGCACAGGTTTTATACTTCATTCAGGTCATAAAAGAAGATTTTCTTTGCTATGAAGAGTTATTACTCACTTTGGGCACTCTGGCAAACCAAACACGGAGAATAGATATCTTCAACAACTTTCAAGATAAACAGGGTGTGAAGTTGGACTGACTTCAGTCAATTTAGTGAGTGTTGTGTGTGTACAGACTGTGCACCTCCCACAACAGCAAAACATGAAGAGTTTATTGCACAGATTTAAAAAGTATTAACAGATCCAGATGCTCTCATTTTTTTTCATTGTCTCTTGCATCCGCAAAATCTCTGTGCTAAAGGTACTATTTTAAGTGACACTTTGCAACAAGTTATAAGTAGTGTTAACTATATTCCTGTAAACTCAACACAGCATGGTCAGTCTCAGAATATGCCAAAGTTAATGATGAGATATTCAGTGTGGATTTGTCATATCATTCTAAAGTGCATTGGCTATCGCAGGGACAAGTGTTAGCCAAAATTTTATCTCTGTGAGTACAGATAGTTAAATTTTATGAAGAACAGAATCAGCAATGTTAATTATTGAAAAAAGATTTCTATAGGAATTCTATAGGAATGCAGCATTTCTGTGTGATATCATGTCAAATCAAAATGATTTGAATATTTCTTTGCAAGGTAAAACTAAGTCTATATATGATATGTGGCCAAAAATCCGAACATTTTGAAAAAAAGCTATCTTTTTCAAAACACTTCTTCAAAACAAAATTTCAGATGAATATGTTCTACAGTTAGCATAGGCCATTGATGAGCAGTATGAAACATGCGAATTATTTGAAGAATACACAGCTGTTATAAACCTATTAATCAGAGACTACAATGAAAGGTTCACTGACTTTAAGAAACATCACATCACACTCAAATTAGCATTTTGGCCTCACTTAGTTGATATCACCAAGGCACCTAAGAACTACAGATGGAATTGATTGAGCTCTCGGTAGATGACATTTTAAAGTCATTGTTTGATGCTAACAAAGATCCAATTGAAATATGGAAAAATGCAGAATACCCACGCCTTCAGCAACATGCCTGAAAAATGCTTTCTTGCTTTTAAACCACTTATTTGCAGCAAATCTACATTCTCCACCTACCCCAAAGCAAAATGCCCTTAATGTCAAAAATGACTGACACCCATCTAGAGGATCAACTGAAACTGCAGACCTCCATGCTGAAACCAAATATTCAAATGCTTTCCAACAAAACGTAGATACAACAAAGTCATTAAAAGGTTCGTTAACTTTAAAATCAACAAATAGTTTTCATTTGTTGAAATTATTAAGTACATAGTAATTAGATTTTTATAAAATAAGGCACATTTTTTTTTAGTATATCTAAAGTTTCTTGAATGCAGTCTTATTTGATTACAGCTAAATTAATGTGGCCTTCCACCCTGAAAAGATTCCCCATCTGAAAAGGTTCCCCATCTCTGGGCCTGACATTCAATTATAATGTCCCCTTCCCTTGCACAGAATTAGTTTTGCTTGTAAAAATTCTTCAGTGGCTCTCCAACTTTTATACGATAAAGTACAAATCATTTATCCTAATGCACAAGGCCTTCTGTGGTTTGGCCCATGCTAGAATTAACTCCACTTCCTGCCCTTGCACCTACCCAGTCTTGGCACCCAATCCACTTACCCTAACTGTGAACTGAGAAATTGAGCCTCTGTGTTCCATGTGTCAGGAACTCAGTGCTTCTACTTGCCCACCTTGGAGTACCTAATTATCTTTCAAGACACATCTTCCACCTCCTTTATGAACTCTTCCTGTGTCATTACATAAAAGTGGCCACCTTTTTTTGTTGTTGATCTGTGTGAACTCTGAACTTCTTTCTATGGTACCTCACCAAATGTGTTTGTTTATATTTCTGTCTTCTCTTAGCAAATGAGGCAAAGATTTTTATTTTTATTTTTCTTATTCAGTTCCCAGCAGCTAAAGTGGCACCAGACAGAGTAAGAGTCCAGTAAGTGTAATCGGGCAAATTAACAAATTTTGTATTGCAAGTGACTCCTTCAAAAGGTTATTAACCAGCTCAATAACTAAAAGCATTCTGACTCAATTAAAAATTATTCCTGGTTGTTTTTTATAAAATCAGATTTATTTTACACTCGCAGATTCATGCCATCATATGGACAATTCAAGAGAAAAATCTAACTCTAAAGTCAATTTCAAAGAAAAAAATCCCAGAATAAATTGAAAATTATTAGTATTTTGGAAAAACTACATTGATATTTTTTCCCTTCCTTTAAGACTACTCAAGTATTATCTTTCCTGTGAAGTTTCTTTGACTCTCTCAATAGAGTTAGTTGCTTTAACTTAGAATTAAATTTTATTTCATTTCCACTAAAAATATGTACTTATGATTTTGCTGGGTACTTATAGCATTTTTATATGTTTTATCAACATTTACCCATTACATTATAAGTGAATGTACATTTCATTGTTAGATTGCAAACTTAAGGATAGAAATTTGGTTGTTTAATCAAGCTTGACATAGCTTTTACCACCTATTATATTCCAATCACCATAATAAACCCTCAAACTATATTATCTTCTCTAAGCTTCACAACAAACTTATGAAACAGGTATTGTCAGACCCATTTTATAAATCCGAAAATTGATGTTTATAGAGATTAATTAACTTGTTGCAGGTCACACAGCCAGTAAATGACAGAATTAGCATTTATACCCACTCTGACTCCTACACTAATGTTTCTACTGAGACGTACATACTATTTCTTACAACATATAAAACTTAGGAAGAGTATTTACAACTCATGAATAGCTCTCACACTGTAAGTTGTTTTTAAAAATTAAAACCTCTATTCTATTTCCCTGCCCACAGCTATCCCACTTCTTTTCTCTGCTTTGTGGCAAAACCATCCAAAGAACTGTCTATGTTCATTTTCTTCAATTTTTTTCCTCTGCTCTAAAACATATCCAATCAGGCTTTTATTTCCTCTGGGCCACCGAAATTGCTTATCAGAGTCAGCAGTGACTTGCATGGCTAAATCCAATGCTTGTTTCTCAATCCTCCTCTGACATGACCTTTTGGGACCATTTGGCACTGTTGAGCTCACCTCCATCTTGACGTGTACTTTCCACTTGGCTCACTCCTGCCTCACTGGCCACTCTTGATCCTTGCACTTTTTTTTCCTCGCAAACTGATCATTATCTTTGCCCTTAACCCTCTTCTCTGTTGTCTATGTCTTTACTCCCTTAGTTTTCTCATATAGTCATGGACCTTTAAATATCATTTATATGTCAGCAGCTCCTGAATTTATATCACCACCCCAGGCATCAATCACAAACTTCATACATACACACTCAATATGTCCAAAACTAAATTCCTGATCTTACATTCCAAACCACTCCTCCACCCTTGGATAGCCGTTCTGAATAATCAGTTCTAGTTCAAGTTGTTGAGGTCAGGATCCTTAGCCTAGATTTCCCCTCTCAGATCCTATGTCCAGGAATTCCTACTGACTCTATCTTCAAAACACATCCAGAATATTACTTCTCATCACCCCCACTGGTCTCAGCAACCGTCATCTCTCCCCTGTAATACTACAATAGCCTTAGAATGGTCTCCCTACCTCTCTTGCACCTTCATAGTCCTTGCACCACCCCTAAAGTAATCTTTTTACAATGTAAGTTAAAACATGTCATTCTTCTGTTTAAAAATTCTGAACTGGCTCCTTGTTTCATTCAGACAAAAGTCAAAGTTCTTACAATGGTCTAGTATTTATTCTAGTGTTTTAACTTTATATCAGTATTAATAGGAGAGTTCTAAACAATGTAGCTTTTGAAATTTCTCATTTTTATTGTCAGAAACTCACTCTGGTTTTAGAAAAACTATCTCATATAGGAGAACAAATTTTAAGAAAATTTTAGTGATTACTCATTTTGAATAGTATAGTAAGGAAAATATATGGTTAAAACTTGAGGTCTGTGCCTCTTCCTTGGATAAAAAGAAGCATTCTGAGTCCACTTACTAAATTGCCTCTTATTTTTCTTCCTTTTTTAGTATGAAAGTTCATTCCTTTGATTTTTAAGTAGCCATGCAGAAGTTAAAAAATAAAAGATTTTTCAGTAAATGTGAGATAATCCTGGCTTTAAAAATCCAAATTTATTTTTAAAATGAACAAATAACTATTTAGAAAGCACTTATTCTTACCCTAGAAGAATTTATTTTTATTAATAAAAATGACAGAATGGAGATTGCCAGTAACTATCCACTGTAACTTATCTATTTTTTGTCATTCTTAATATGAAAAGCTCACTAACAAGTGAAGTAATACATGAAGAAGCCAGACCAAATGGAAAAAAGAACATTCTAGATTATGTGAGAAAGAAAGTGAAATTACAGTTTTCATCCTAGCATAGAAATATGAACACTGAATAAAAATTCAATTATAGGTAAAAGAAGGAACATTAAGGAAATTACTGTGCATTCCACAGAATCATCAGCTTTTATGTTGAGTTTCAGAGCTTCTTTTAGGCTAAGAAATATATCTATATTATCTTGAATGAATATTATGAGTATGAAAGAATATGAAAGAAAAAACTTTTAGTTTTAGATACCTAAACATGTAACAATTGAATATTTTAGTAATCTAAAATTTGCTAATCTTTAAAAATATAAGAATTTTCACACTCTAGTCTTTCCTTTATTTCCCCCCATTATGTTTAGCTAGAATTACATTTCATCTATCTACATGATATGTGTTTTTATAAACCTAAATATTAAATGCACAGTGACTAACATAAATTATTGCATTATTGCTTGAATAAATGAATATAATGCTAATATGCAACCTACCATTTGCCACATATTGTGTTATATAATAGTAGTTCCATTTTATGAATAAGGAAAAAATAAGACTTAGAAAGGTTCAATCCATTGCTCAAGGGGAACATCTTAGTCAATGAGGCCAATCTTTAAGCATAGAAATATCCAAATCCAAAACTTGGACTCATCCTCTCCACACACAGATTATATATTGACATGTCACAATTATTATTAACTCAACGACATCATGCCCTAGACTGCACTCATTATTCCCCCCAGCCTCCTCATTTTCTTCTATGTTTCCTCTTAGTTAAAGGTGTCTGCTGTATCAGAATCTAGAAACTAGAACTCATCTTTAACTCTTCATTGTCCTATTCCACAACCATTCTGTCAGCCAAGTACCTGTTATCCATTTTGCCTCTAAAGTAGATCTTCTTTCTTTCATCCTGTTGACTGCTCTTGAGCACCCTGGTAGACCTGCCCATCTCAGAGAACACCATGTTGAGGAGAGGGATGTGTCCTTCCTTGGCTCAGTTACGATCACTGGGCTGAATTAACTTCCTGTTGTCCCCAAGGCTGGATGCTGTGGAGCCACTGGGGGAAAAAAAAATGGATTGTTAATATTTGATTTGAAACCCTGAGTAAGAACTGCTTCCTTGTCTCCAGACTAGAAAGATCACTCCAGTGTGAGAAGACATTCACTATCAACTGGGCGAACCTCAGTCAGCACCTTCCAATGGGACAATAGACTTTAGTCATCATCAGTCCCCTAATAATAACCTACCACTTAGACAATTTGATGTCAGAGTTCAAATGGGGTTCACAAGACCTATGTTCATACTCTTCACACCTCACACTCTCAGGTATCATTCCACACAGGCTGTGCAGTCACCATCCCAGTCTCCTTCCTCTGCTCTCTTCTCACTCATGATGATTCAGCTCCCATGAGCCTTGCCCCTGTCTGCCAACCTTTGCTCCTTTTTTCCCATTTCTCCCTAGTGTTCTCCTTTCTGGTAAACATATTCCCCTATCTTAGCCCCTTGAAAAATATTTCCTTGGTCTCCTTGTCTCATAAACAGTTCTTTGCTATATACCATGCTTCTCTTGAGGCTCCTGTGATAGAACTTGATCATCTCTATATAGCTGAGATGATACCAGAAAAGAAGGAAAGGTAGCTGTCTCCCTCCTCACAGATAGGAACATCAGATCACAATCTCAACCTTCTGTCAAAAGCCCCTTCTTAGACAATCATGCCACCCATGTATACCCCTCTCAGTCTTGTAGTATAATTTGTAATCTTAGGTACCCTCTTCTACATATTTATGGCTTTGACACCCAAATTCAAGTTTTTCTCACTGTTAACATCCTGTGTTTATCCTTAATGGCTTTTTTCTTCTTCCAGTATGTACAATCATCCAGGATCTGAGCTGAAAGCACCTTGACCTTAACATATCAAGAAATTGTATAATGCATACATTACATTTCAGTGATCACACTCAAATTGCTGGGACTTCATCATTATCTAAAACAGTCTAAATTTAACATTATAAACAACTCTCTATAGGCTCTGTCTTTTAAATATTCTCCCCCCCCCTCCTGCTTTTTTTTGAGACAGAGTCTCGCTCTGTTGCCTGAGGTACAGTTGCCTGAGGTACAGCGTGGCATCAGCCTAGCTCACAGCAACCTCAAACTCCTGGGCTCAAGTGATCCTACTGCCTCAGCCTCCCGAGTAGCTGGGATTACAGGCACGTGCCACCACGCCTGGCTAATTTTTGTGTTTGTTTGTTTCTATTTTTCGTTGCCTGGCTAATTTTTTCTAATTTTAGTAGAGATGGGGTCTCACGCTTGCTCTGGCTGGTTTCAAACTGCTGACCTCAAGCTATCCTCCTGCCTCAACCTCCCAGAGTGCTAGGATTATAGGCATGAGCCACCGTGCCCAGCTATTTCCTTTTAACTTTAAGGAAAAGTTCAAATTCCTTTGCCTGGATGCAGAATTCTTAGGCATTCTGGCAACCACCTATGCTTCTATTAGTAAATGCATCCTCTACAACTTCCCCTATCAAGATGACCTCATCTTTTGTTTCAGCCACAATGAGCCATTCACCATTTCTTAGATACACTGAATCTTTTCATGTATATATACCCTTGTCTGTCCACTTTTATCTTTCTGAAAAATTCTTTTCAAAATCTCCATCTCATTATAGCTGACTTACTCTTTAAGATCCATTTATTTCCTGCCATCTTCAACTCCCTAAGACAATGACTTCCTAAGTCATTCTTTCATCTATTGCTTCCAATAACTTGAGAGTAAATGCTCAAGTTACTGTAATTTTTAAAAATAAACTTACATGTCAAAATTAAAAAGAGTAATTCCCAGTGATTAACAAATTTCTTTACTCTGTGTACTTCTTTTATTTCCATTCTTCTAAGATGATACAAAATATTTCAAGAGGATACATCAATTCAAATAATTGGTTTTGTCCCAGATCATTACATCAAAAATGTTTTTATAAAAATGTCATTGTAATTGGGTAGATGATGTTACTTTTTTCTTTAATTTTTAGAATCAATTTTCCTCTAGAAATAAAGTCACTTCCAAGGGAATCCATGCTCATTATAAAACTGTATGGGATTGCCTGTGCAACCAACAATGCAAATCTACTGGCCTGGACTTGTTTTCCATTGTTTCCAAAAGAGTAAGTATATCATTTTTGGTTATTAAAAGCCCCATTTCAATAAAGCATCCTTGGAACCAAATACTTTGCAGTAAATGGTATGAGAAAATTAAGAAGACATTGTATTCTAAAACGGAGGTAGCTCAGTATAAATCATTACTACTGAAAACAGAACTGAAAAGTAAAAATGTAGAAATGGTTTTAGAAACAGGCCTCATGCTCAACTTGTCAGCTGAGTCATTTACAACAAAGACATATTGGCGTGACCAATCTCAATTACTTTCCTTTCTCTCACCAGCCAATTTTTCTGGAATTAGTTATTCAAAGTGATTCGGATTAATACTGTCATTTAGAAAGAATGTCAGTCATGGAATTCTGGCTAAAGTAAAATTACACAGTGTAACTGGTATACTGACCTTTTATTGTCAAGAAGAAATATTTAGTAACTTTGAGATGATATTTTTCAGAAAAGTAAACCAACTATGAGTTCCGATATTCTCTCAGAACTAATGGCCATTGTAAAATTAACTATTAAGTATAAGGCTTGGGAATTATTAGTATAACTTGATAAAAATCAATTACATGATTTTCTATACTATTGAGGAGAAACTATTTCAAAAAAATAAGCTAATTATTTTTCACACAGCAAGACTTTTCTTTAGAATCAAATGGTAAAATTCAGGACCCTCCAAAAATTAGGATCTATTTTGTGATGTTAATATTGTTCTAAAGTATATTTCTTCCCCAATGGTTTAGAAAGATTTGGTAACACAAAAATGTTAAAAACAATTCTTCATCACAGTTTAGTTCCCACATTTGGCAATATATATAAATTATTATCAAAGCAACTACGATAAATCTTAAAATTTTATTTATTGGGTTACTTCTGATCTGAGCTGTGTGCATGTGTGGGTGTGTGTACATACATGTTTTATTCTGTTATTTGTTTTCATGTTTTAGCCCATTTCGTGGGTGTTCCTGGAGGACAGGGAATGTATTTATTTTTGTAATATCTGTCATCTAACATAGTACCTCATATAAATAGGCAATCAGTAGAGGTCTGTTTACTAAATTGAATTGGAAAAAAAAATCAATCCCAATATAAGAGATTTAGAATGAAATAAGATTTCACAAGTCTACAAGAAACAGTTTTTCCCAAAAAGGAATACCTACTGCTATTAGCAGACATTTCAAAAGTCTGGATTATGTGCTAAGAACTTTCATTCATTTCTCATTAGGAGCAGCTACACAAGTGTCCTTCCTTCTCATGAGTGAGTTTCTTTAAAGTTTCAACAGCAATATTTGTAAGATCTAGCATTTTTGTAGCATATTATCTCTAGCTGTTCACTGAAAAGAAAGTTCCATTTATTCTCTCCTATCACTTAAAATACTACTTTGCATATAACAATCAATAAACATTAAATATGTAAGAAGTTGGGAATATTTTCTGTCTTTCAAACTAATTTTCAAGGCATTTTTCTAGATGTTTATGATAGTAAGAATGCTGCCTCCATGCTGTTTTGTCATATATCACTCCCATTGGTAAACATTTTATAGGTGAATGATTATAGAAAACAGGAATCTGAGAGAAATGCCATCTGGGATGGATCCTAGCTGGTGTTTTTCTATGGGAAAGTGTCAAAATTGTGGATGATGAGGCATCAGAAAACACAACTCACTTCAAAGAGTACTTCAATAAACATTTATAAATATAGTTCGAACACACTGTTTCTCATGAAAATCAGAAAATCTGCCTCTCTTCTGAGCTAAACAATTCAAAGAAATCCAGATTGTTTAAAGACATCAGAAATCCATCCTGTGGGGCAGGCAGCTGGGGAGATGAGATGACTCCCACTTTGCTCATTGCTCCGAGTTACAGAGATCCTAACCCAATTCATTTGATGCAGATATTTCCAGATCACAGAAAATTGGTGACTTAATTTCATTTCCTTTCATAGAATGACCCCTGCCTGTAAACATTTGGTATTGAATCTGTCTTTCATTACAGTTTGAATTGCCCACAGCTAGCCATGTGGAGTTGTAATGAGCACTTATGTCATTATTTTTTCCAACATACATATAAACTGACAATATGCAGAATTAAAGGGTTCCTATCTCACTTTGGTTACTAGAGTTGAGTTTCAGAAGAACCAATGGTGATTCAACCCAGATAAATCAGTTAGGGCTACATCAGTAAAATTCTACATTTTCAAGCATGCAAATTCACCTTCAATTCTATTTAAAGAAAAAAAAAATCTTAAGTCCAAAGGTAAAATTTTGCCCACAGAAGTTTTATAATCCCCTCTTTTGCAGACAAGACTTCCACTGCACCTGCATTCATACTGTCTCTACAAGGCAGCAAGAAAGTATTATCTTCACCTCAACAATTTCCATTAGCTCCCAACTTAGTCCCAACTCCCTTATTAGTTTATAAGTGCAAAACTAATAGCACGGTAGTACTTAGCATTTCTCAATTGTGGTGAGCTACTTTAACACAGAGATTCTCAACCCTGATTAAACAACCGAATTTTCTGGGAAGATTTTAAAATCAACCCAAAGCCCAAGTACCTCTAAATTCTGCAGAATTCCAAAACAGGCCTAAAATAAATCTTAATCTCAAAACAATTAGATTCCTTAGACAATGACCTGAGTAGCCAAGCCTAACCTCCCCAATCCCACATCTAATCATTTCAGATATATCTTCAAAATCAAATAATAAGTAAATTGTGGGTGAAAATTTTTATTTTTTTTTTCTTTCCTGTCCAAGACAGACCTTCAGTTAGTCCAAATACCTCATTTACAAATGAAGAACTCTATGGTGAAGGAAAGTTAAAATACTTGCTATAGTTACCAGGCTATTTACAAATAGAACAAGAACTAGAATGCAGGTCTGGGCTTTACTACCTTAAGCTGCCTCCCTTCCTGCTCTCAGGTGCAATGGCTTACTCCATAAACCCTGTAAAAACCTCACTACCTGACAAGGGGCTCCTGCCTCAGCCTCCCCTGGGTTCTGCTCTTGGACATGAAATCTACCAGCTCTATCAGAGTCAGCAACCCACAGAGTTTTGTAACATCAGGTCCTCTGATCCTACTGACTGCCCACTTCTGGGGCCTTTTTCCTTCTCTGGTTCAATGCCAGCAATGGATGTGTAGAATCCTCCTATGAAATCCTATGGCTAAAATTGATAACTGTTTTATTTCAACACCTTATATTCTTACTTGAGGAAGCGGGGGCCCAGAGAGAATAAACCAGCCCATCATTTCTCCTGGGACCACAAATTTTGGGGTTGTTTTTTCTAGTCAATAAATCTGTATGATATTTAAATTGAAAATATTATTAAAAATATTCCAGAACAAATACATTTAGCAGTGTAGTCCTTTTCCTAAAACGTTGTGTTCCAAAACCTAAAGTGTAAAAGTAATGAATAGTCCACATATATGCTGTGTGGAATTTGAAATCCTGTAGTCTAGCCAAATTGTCATTTCCCCACCATCCTTCTGAAGCCTCCCCTCAACCATCACTAGAACCTCAAAGCTATATGAAAACGCTGGAAACCCATTGATTTTGCCCAAGAAGCTCAAAGAAGTTAAGCTAATTAAGGATAGTTAATGAAGACAAGATCCAGATGGCCTGGCACAGAGTCTGGTGTTCTTTCCATTATATGAAACTGTTTTCTGTATATCCTGCCTTCATCAACTTTTTTTCATTTGTTTAATTTTAACTGACTTAAACCTTTCACAGTGGTAGTTATTAAACACACACAAAAAAGAATGGTGGTCTCCACTTGCCTGGTGTTAAAAGTTTCCATTTTCATCTTCTTTCTGAAACCACCGACACTCTTAGATGTATCTTTTCACATCTCAATCCCACTAATCATCTTTCTCATATTTTCCATTTGCAGAAGTCTATTGAAATGCATTTCCTCCATTATGCTTCCAATTTCTAAAAAGATATTCCGGCACAGTCCATTATCAGAAAGTAAATTAGATAATATCAAGCATACAAAGAGCCTGCAAAATGGTGTCAAACATTTATTTTCCTTCCCCCTTCCATGGCATTAAAATACATATTATATCAGCCTCGTTGGAAGCTAGAAGTTCATTCTCCCTATGACCTATTTCTTGATACATACCCCTATACACACGCCTACATCAAGTGACTTCATTCTGCCCCCTGTACCCTCAGGGTTAAGGTCATGGTGACTATTGACCCAGACTCTATCTAAGGACAGAAATGGCAGGTACTTACCCTTAGATTCTTGAGTCCCCTCATCCTCTATTAGAACCAACTTAGATCACTCTGATTTTCAGAGTGATGCATGGCCAAGAAATATAAATATGTAAGGCCACAAATATAACACATTTTACAGCTTAGGTATGAAGAAAAAAAAATGCAGCAAATATATCACACTTTTCCTCATGAGCTCCCACCCTATAACTAAAAAGGAGAAAAAACTTTCCATCTATGACAACATATTAGTTACCTCAGTAATTTAAATAGCCCTATTATAAGTACACAGTCTCTTTTGGATAAAAAATGCTCCGTCACTCAGATATCTTCCTTACACCCTGCTTCTCTTCCTAAGAGGGGAAAAGGAACACAAGATCACAAAAGAAAAGAAAACCAGATCCTTTGGCTTGGTGACTTCTGCATTTGAATCAAAGTCACTTTTAAAGCTGGTGGCTGCTTGTTATAGGGGAAATCTGTAGCTAGCTTAGCTTGTGAATGGGGCTCCCACAGCCTAGCCAGGGCTCCTGGCACTCCCTGGTGGCTCAGGCTCTCCTCAGGCACCATAGACCCATCTGAGGCTTGCCAGAACCTCCATTGGACCTCAGCTGGGATGGTCCAATAAGAGGCCCTCATCCCCTTTCTGAAAACCCTCCCTCTTGAATACCTTTGGCTATTTCTAGATCCCATCTCATCTACACAGAAACCAAAAAAGGTCCCAAAAAGCCAAACTCAGGAGTCCCTTCTGCCTCTTAACCACGTGATGCCAAGTTTAGTGGTCATGCCACAAGTCGGCACAGAGCAGGTTCAAGAGGTGGCTTCCTTCCAGGATCTGAAACAGGAAGTGAGAAAAGGAGCCTGCTGCCTCCCATGTTATAATAATATAACACAATATATATAATATATTATATAACATATAATATATATAAAATATATATAATATATATATATATATAATAATAAATTGGCTCACATCTGTCACATCCTTCCCATCTCCTTCCAAAGGCAGAAGAGAGGCAAACGGGGGCCCTGTGTCAGCTGCACTTACTCTGCTCCTTCCCCGTGTTCCACCTCCCACCCTCCCAATTGCCAGAAAGTGGCCCGCTCTCCTGGTACCACATTCTCCCATCCATCATGCCATACTCTTCTCGTTTCTCTGCTCTATTGACCATTCTTAGAAATATTTTCTCTACCTCCTGTGGAGAACATTACCTGAGTCCTCCAAGTTTGCTATGAGACCTGCTCCTTCCTCCTCTTGTGTCCTGCCTGACACTAATCTAGAACTTTTCCCAGGCAGATGGAGGTTGGGCCATTTGGGGTTGGAGGTGATACGCTCTTAAAGACAAAGAAGAAAATTGCATCAATAATTTTCCAATCTTTACCTTGGTATTGTCATACCCAAACAAGTTTTCTTCAGATGAGGGAGGATGGAAGAAAGGGATAAAGAAGTCTCAAAATTCATCCTGACAGAAGAGTATCCTTGGGTCATATACAAATATCTGCAATATACGTAACCTTAACATTTGTACCCCCATAATATGCTGGAAAAAATAAATTTAAAAAATTGTAACAAAAAATAAAAAGACAAAAAAATAAAAGTCATGAAGAAATTAAAAAATATATATATATATGTATATATATATGCCCAATAACATTTTCAAATTATACTCCCTTTGGACACATACTTTCTGACAGTATCTTTAAATAGAGAAAATAATAAAGAAAGCAGGCCTCAGAAAGCTAAAGCTTTGAAGAAAACTTTATTTGTTGGATTTTTTTTCTTCATGTTTTGCATAGTATCTGTTAAATGGCAAGATGGAATTCTATATTGTGTTTAGAAAGACTCACTTGCTGCTTTAAAGTTCTTTATAAACTTGAATTTTGTTGACTTTCAGTTTTTACATCTTCAATTTGGCATATTAAAACCAAAGGCTGTTCTCAGCAATCATTGGAACGTTTTACCGCTCTCTGACTCTCATACCCAGCCAGGAGTAACTTCTTTTATAATCCATGTGAGATCTGTGGATTTGGATGTTACTGAAGCTGTTAAAACCATCCATGAATTCTTCCCTGTTTAAAATCTTTCCTGTATGCACCCTCATTTGCTATGGTAATTTACCACCAATTTTTAAACATTCAGTATACGAATAATCTATTTATACATAAGGAAGCATTTCCTCTGTGAAGTCCCATAACTATTTTTATTCCACAGATCATATGCTATGCTAATTTAAATCTTTTCTCTCTATAAATTTAGTACTCATATCTTTAAAGGTGCTTAGGGAATTTAGTCACTCTATGGAGCAAAAGAAAAATGTTCTGAAGACTTGACATCTTTACTGACTTAAGGCAGCCATTAACTACAAGAATAAAAATCTGAGATTCTTAGTCTCACCTTGTAATCACCATTGTTGGCAATTAAGAATAAATGCTACCCATTAGAAACCATTGTGAGTAAACATGTGGTTTCTCATGTGGAAAATAAATGTAGGCATCTAGGAAAATAGCCATGGAAGTGGTATGTTAGAAATGAACTGTTAATCAGTGTCTGGGCTTGCAGAATATCTGATTTCTTTTCTAGCAACTGAATAAAGCCACTAAAATAGTTGATTATGTTTACATTCCCAAAGAAAACATTTACAGATAATCATAGATCCCCTCATGAAATGACTCCTGTCCATCTGTATGTGTTTGTCTTTTGTAGAAAATCCATTCTGGGGTCCATGCTATTCAGCGTGACGTTCCAGAGTGAGCCACCCCTAGCAATGATGGCCCCGGGAGTGTGGGACGTAAGTCAGCCATCCCCTGTCACCCTGCAGGTGAGTGCAGGCTATGGGATTAAAGTGCACATGGCAAGTATTGGTTGATAAGTAGTTTGTTGTCAATTTTACAAACAACTTCTTCTAGGATCACACATTTTAATAGTCTTCTCTTCCTCCAGCCTGCTGGGATTTGTGACATCTCCATTGCTTCTACTTTACATTCAGTACTCTCAAAGCACTTTTCCCCCAGCTTATTTCATAGCAATTTCAAACCATTCTCCCTCAGACAAGATCGTGAAGGAGAGCTGTGGAGTGTTGCCATTAGCATACTCATTACATGCATTCACTTTTCTCCCCATTGTTTAAAAACAGTCATTGGTATATATTATTAACTTGATATCTTACTCACACCTACCTCAGCATTTGTGTCATGTTTCTTTAAAATCTCTTCTGTTGTACATTTCCTAAATGACTAGTAATTAACTGAGTAGTTGGAGAGAAACTACAAACAAAATCTAGTATACTTTTTTTTTTTTCTTAAAGCCTTCCCACTCTCTATGATTTGAGATCATGAAGAAAAGGTGGTCAGGGCCTCCAGGCTTTCGTCCTTCCTGCCGACAGTTCCTCATTTGTTCATGATATAGTTGATCATATTGATTAAATACCTGAGGCATGGAAATTCTCAGGCACGGAAGTGCAGGGAATATGGACTTTTTATCTCTACAGGAAAAACTGGGAAGTACTATCTGGGCAGAACCTTCTAGAACAACAAAGTTTTTCTACCTCACCACTATTAACATTTTGGACCTGACAGTTCTTTGCTGCGAGGGCCGTGCTGTGCATTGTAGGATATTTAGTGACAACTCTGGTTTCTACTCACTAGATGCCAATGGCGCCTTCTCAATTCTGACGACAAAAATGTCTCCAGATATTGTCACATGTCCTTCAGGGACACAGTTTCCCTCAGCTGAGGATCACTGCTCTAGAGGAAGCTGTAGAGTCTCTAGGTTCCTAAGGTTTGAGGGGAATGACTCTGGGGGACAGAATTTAGAAAGATACATGGAAAAATGTTGACAATGGAAAGGAAAAATTAATACTAATAACAATGTGGCTTCACAGTCTAGTAGAGGAAGGGCCTACTGGGCAGCACCTAAAAATATGCTTCTAATCTGTGTGCATGATGATAAGAAAGAATGGTTATTCAGATCAGATCTTGGCACAATGTCACAAACACTCAACACATGGTGTCATTAATTAACAGATGTTCCTGTTGTAAGGGGACAAAAAGATAGATATTTCTACTACAAAAGAGGAGAGACTTACCGTGAACCTAATATACATAAACATTTTTCTACTAATGAAGAATAGCAAAACACTAGAGGTTCAATTCAATAGCAAATACACATGTCATATGTGACTGCTACTACACACCAAACACTACGATGAACGCTTTTACAAAAATCAGTGAATGTGTAATACCCAGCCAAAGAATTCAAGAAATGCAAAATCCAGCTGGAGAGACAGCTCACTCTGATGTAATGTGACAAATACTGTAGGCATTGTAGGGGCACTAACAAAGTGAGAATAGTGATGAATATTTCTGAGGGAAAGCGAACAACTGTATGAAGTCTGGAGACAGACTCCCAGAGGACATGACATTTGAATGCCCTTTGTGGAATGAGTAAATTCTCACTCTCAGTAACTAGTTTAAGTGGGAAGGGACTATTCAGTCATAAAGGAATGCACAATGCAAACACACAGATTTAGACAGGGGGTGGCAGCTTCAAACTGTGGCAAGTTAGCTAAAATTAAAAAATAAATGTTATGAGGAACAGTGGTAAAAGGTGGAAAATCACTAGATTGCATACCAGATTTGGACATGATTATCCAAGTAATGAGTCATAGAAAGTAGTTCCACCAACATTGTAGAAAAAGGTCCTGAAAACAAAAAGACTGGATATGTTAGAAGAACATCTTAAAATCTAAGTTAAAGGTCATAGGTACCAAACTAAGAACAAAATAATTAAGTGGTAGATTTTAGAAACTGTTTTTTTTTCTTTTGTTCAGCATATTATGGGGGTACAAATGTTAAGGTTACATATTAAGGTTACAAATGTTAAGGTTACATATGCCCTTGCCTCCCTTCCCCCCAGAATCAGAGCTTCAAGCATGTCCATCCCCCAGACAGTGCTCATCGCACTCATTATGTATGTATATATCCGTCCCCTCCTCCCCCCTCCCACCTGCCCAACACCTGATGAATGTTATTCCTATATGTCCACTTAGGTGTTGATGAGTTCATACCAATTTGCTGGTGAGTACATACACTGGGAAAAAAAATCCTTTCTTCAATAAATGGTGCTGGGAAAACTGGATAGCCACATGCAGAAGACGGAAACAGGACCCATAGCTTTCACCTCTCACAAAAATCAACTCACACTGTGCAACAGACTAGAAACTGTTGGGGCCCAACAGAAAGGGGCCCAACCATATGAAGCAAATAAATAAGGAAAGAGAGACAGAAACTTGGGTTCCTAAGTCAATATCAATATCTTTAGTTTTAAAAGGGTGCAGAGAAGGAATAGGCACTCTTCAGCAGTGTAATATGATGAATTTAGTATGGGATACATTGCTTTGTATATAGGCCTGTAGGATATCCAGCTGTAGATATAGGTGACCTTTCTTTAAGTGGATAAATGTATTTTCTATCAAACTATTTCTTGTCAGATCCAAACCACCTCGACTTAATGAAAGTCTTTAAGTCTGACCATTGCCAGAGCTTTGTGTATATAAATTTATGATTTTAGGGGTCTTTAGGGTAGGGGACAGTGGCAGGGGTGGGAGAAAGGGAGAAGAGAAATTATCAAATGAGAAATCTTCCTTGATTTTTCTCAGATGAGGGAAATAGTTCCTTTGGGAACACAGATTCTGGTGAGTGGAATCTAAAGGAAAATTTTGAATATTCAATAGCAGCGGAGATTTCCAAGCAGAAATCTGGATCCATAACAGAACTCATCTCCAAAAAGAGGTGAGGGAGGGGCGTGTAAATCATTCGACAGTATATGCAAAAGTTAAATCATCTTGTTTTTAATGAAATAATTTCAAATGGTATAGACACACAAAAAACCTCTCAACATATTTTTAATTGATGATGAAATATACAAAATGAAATAAGAGTTATTAAGGTAGTAAAGTCGAGGTCTTTAATAGCTTGACTAGTCTAGTTACATAGTCAGATAAATGGACAGCAGACTCTCCAGATTCTGAGGTTATGAGGCCGTGAGGAAATTAGACGCCAGTTCCGCACCCGGCGTTTTGGTTAGGGAGTCAGCGTGAGTCTCAGGGAAAGACATCTGGCTGAGAGTTAGGAAATCTGGATTCTAGCCTTTGCTCTTTTACAGAAAACTTTGTGACCTTGAGCAAGTCACCTAACCTTCTGTTTTCCCCACCGTACAATGAAAAGATCCTACTATGCCTGTCTGACTTCTGTCAGGTCTATACTTTTCTGATTGTCTTTGTATGGTGGGTGGTCCCTGTCACCCCAGTATGACAAGCGATGTGATATGTCACAGAACATGATTCCTTCAAGTCAATGCTTTTCTTCAGGTCCTGCGGTTGATGTACTGACCAGAAGCAATCGATAGAATAAAACAGATCTGAGTTCAGAAATGGACACAGATAAGCAGTTTATTGCTTGACCCCCTTGGCCCTAAACTTCCTGCCTCTCCTTGAACACAACCTACTAATAGTAGAATGTCTCTCTCACTTATTTAACAACTAAGAGCAGTGTTATTTCATATGAGTTAATGTTGTTTCTTGTTCTATTTCTCTACTTCCTCAGCTGCCCATCCATCCACATCTAAATCACCACATTTACCTGGGGGCAGGTACTTGCTTATTCCTAGGTGCCAAATCCAGTGGTGTTTGCCAGTCCTCATGACACTAGCCCTTTCTCTGCTCTTTTTGGCACTGGCTCCTCCCCTTACTGGACCCTATCCTGCTCTGGCTGTGGTGTGACCACCCTCTCATGTTTCTCCTCAGGCTTCTCTCAGGTCCTCCTTTCTCTGTGCCCTTCTCTGGCTCACCCCAGGCTGCCCCTACTGTGGAAACATCTCAGAGGTCCAGTCTGGGTGGTCCATGACTATTCTCAGGATGCATATTCTCCCTGGGTGCTCACATTCTTTTTTTGGTTTTTCATTAAAAAAAAAAAGTTTTGTTGAGATATAATTCACATTCCATACTATTCTCCTATTCAAGTGTGCAGTTCAGTCATTTTTAGTGTTTCCACAGATATGTGTAACTATCACCACAGTCAATTTAGAACATTTTCATCACCTCAAAAAAGGAGATTCCAGATCCCTTAGGTATTACCACCTAGTCCCTCATCCTTTCCAACCCTAAGCAACCACTAATATACTTTCTGTCTGTATAAATTTGCCTATTTGGGACACTTCACTTAAATGGAATCATATGCTATGTGGTCTATTGTGATTGGCTTCTCTCACTTAGCATAGTGTTTTCAAAGTTCTTCCATGTTACAGCATGGATCAGTATTCATTCCTTTTTATTGTTGTATAATATTATGTTGCATGAATATACCACATTTTATTTATCCATTTATTAGTCAATGTATATTTGGGTTTTTTCCACCTTTGGGCTGTTAAGAATATCACTGTTGTGAACATTTGTGTATAGATATTCATGTGAACATAGGTTTTCATTTCTCTTGGGTGCATACTTAGCATTATATATTCATTTCTAAGGTTTTCTTTTTGGTACCTTGCAGGTTCACTTCTAAGTCTGCACCTCTATCATAGACTCCTTCAAACCTCAAGCTTCAGACAAATAAAGACATACCTGGATATTCTACCAGTAGCTTCAAACAAAAACATACCCCCAACTGAGCCGACCTTCCTCTCCAAAATTACTTCCACTCCCTGAATTTGTTATGCCTACCCATGCCAAGCACATACCTACCTGTTTTTCCTGCCTCCTCCCTCTTTCTGTCTGCCTGTCTTCAGTCCACACTCTATCTTGCCAATTTGTCATCTTTGTTTTCTTCACCTATCCACTCAATTCCTCCCCTCATCTGCCCTAGTTCAACAACTCCCTCCTATATTACAGCAGCGGAACTATTTTCCTTGGCTTTAGTTTTATCATTTTCTCATCCAAAATCTGCATAGTCACAAGGGCAATCCTTCTAAAACTTAAATCTGAACCTGTCACTTTCCTGCTTAGACTCTTCGATAACTCAGCACTACCCAGAGAATTAAGGCCAGCTCTACAGCATGGCCCCTCTCTCATCACTCCTCTTGCCAGTTCATGTTTGACACTTCAAGCTCCAGTAGCTTTGCAAATGTGGTTTCTGACATGCCCTACCCTGCTTTTACCCTATGTAAATTTATGAATACTGCACCCTGTCCATAATGCACCTGCCTTCTCTCCTTCACCATCCACTGGCCACCCCTCTTCTGACTCTGAGCAATTGATAGTCATCTTTTACCATCCATGGACCCTCCTGTAGGAGGCTCTCCCTTACCCCCATCCTCTCTTCCCACACCATGCAGAGTTGAGTGCCCTTCCTCTGTGTTCACATAATACCCAGTAACTTTTTATCCATATATTTCCAACATTCTATTCTTTCTGCGGACTGAGAAATCTCTGACAGCATGGACAGTATTTTATCCCCAGCATCTAGAGCAGTACTTAGAATATAATTTTTGTTAAATGAATATTATGTTGCCCTATTTCTGATCACTACAATAACCCAACCCATAGATATTTCTAAAACATAGCCCTTTGGGCCACTTTTCTGAACATGAATACCAGAATGTTCAGCTCTTCCTATTTTATCTAATAGGGCCTTCTCCCCAAACCACAGCTCTTGCTTACTCATTCACCCAAGCATTTTACTTTCTCTAACATTTTATTACATGCTTATCCTCCAGTACCAGCAGTGTTAGGGAGAGAACCCAATCTCTTTCTTGATACCAGGTTCTTAGAACACACTATATTTGAGTCCTTATGTAACAGAGATTCTTTTTTTTTTCTCACCTCGATACAACCATATGGATTCCTCATTTACATTCCTTGAGACTTATCACAATTGCCATCCAGTTAGCATATATCCTTTCTTCCCTCGAATTGCCATAAAACGTAGAGTCTTATATGCATGTGCCTTATAATACCCAACCTATAACCACAAGTGGAAGTAGTTCTCTGAGTAAGCTGACAGAATCATGGATACCCACACTGGGCCCAGGGACGCCTTATGGGTATGACTGTGGGGCATGGATACCAGGGACATTTACAACAGCTCCCTGAAGTAGGGTCAAACCATGAAGCCACAGTACGAACCGTGGTGGCCAAGTGTACTTGGAGAAGGATGGATATATGGAACAAAAGAAGTCAATATCCAAATGTGTAAGGAGGTATGAGTTAGAAGGTAGAGTGACCGAGTCTGAATATTTTCCTGCACTCTGGAGGAAAGATTCCATAATTTTTTGGTGGTGCTGTTCTTAAAATCAGAAGTGTATTCTTAAGGCTTAGGCAGGAATGTGACAAAGTGGTGTCATGGCATATTCAGTGTTGATATTTGAAATAAATCTCCTGGAACATTCCATTAGAAAGAAATGTGAGACCAAAGCCAGGCTTAGTCAGCCACAGCCACAGAAGGGGAAAGAGCAGAGTCGAGTATGTGCCATTACTAAAGCACAGTAATGAAGTTCAGCTTTGGGACACTGTGTATTTACTGTTCCCTGTTTAGTTGTTAATATGTGTCTTTTTTCCTCAATTAGACTTTAAGTTTTTTGAAAGTAATATATGCTACTTGTATCTTCCATAATGCATGGTGCTCAGAAATATTTTAGAGCAAATCCATTAATACATAATTTGTAGTACTTTTCTGTGTTAAAAGGTAGAACAAGAGGCAACTGGGAGAAATTTCAATATTTTTTATCAGTGGCTCAAGGATCAGTAGATATTTAGCTTCATAATCCATGAAAAAATGCAATTTGATATATGAACTCACTTATGTATCAGAGATAAAAATTATTTCCCAAGTGAAATATATCAAATAATTTATTATAGACTGTGTACCAGGGCACTTTGGTATTTTCATCCACTATCTTTGGTTTCCTCATCAACCCTGCCATTTACTTAGTATCAACATAAAATTGTACTAGCTCATTAAATGCTATTTGAAAATATTTGTGCACATAAAGAGTAACATGTAACCTGCTAGTACTAGATGCCTTTCCCTCTAAGGCCCGAAAATTAATCTTTCAAGATTAATCTTTGTCGAAAGAGAAAATTTACTGTAATATTACTTTTACCTTATATATTACATGTTTTTTATCATGTTGAGTAATAATTAATACATTATAACAAAGGTTATATAAAAAAGAATTGCAACAGATTTTAGCCATTATGGAATGAAATTACTAAAATTTTTTCAAATAAATAAGAACCCAAATAGATTAAACTGCATTTCTAACTGTTAACACACTCTACTTCACCATGTTCCTTAATTTTCTCTGAAATTCCTGTCTGACATAATTCAGCAAAGAAAATTAAATTCCGTGATTTTTTATATGTTAAAATGAAAAAATGTATATGATTACCTTAAGCAAATATATGAAGCCCTAAAATATACAGCTCATTTACACAGTTTGAAACTATCCTTTATTGTTAACCATTATTTTATTTACTAGAATCAGGCTATCAGTGAAAGATGGTTTAATGGAAAACTCATTGACCCAGGAAAAAAGAAAGCATAGATTCTAGAACTGTCTATAAATCTGAACACTGAATCAAAGCAACAATATTCTATTTGGTTATATACTAGAAAAACAAGTTTTTACCAGAGAATATTTCACTCTCATGTCTAAAAAATGATTCCCAGATTTACAAATTTCATAAAATAGAGACCAGACTAACATAGTTTAACTCTTTTATTTTCCCAAGTGATTTCATGAAAAAGTTATAATCATCTTTAAATCTCATCATTTCATAATAGAAAGACCTTTTAAAACTGAAATGTAGAAAGGATTTAATTGTAGCATTAATCAAAAATGTAATGAATTTAGCTTTCTGAAAAGTTTATACATTTTATTGTTTTTTTCATTTTCCCTCAGACAACATTACAGATGACTAATCTGTACCATTTGTATAAATAATTGGCCAAATGTCGTGTATACTTAAATACTAAATCCAAACTTTAATGATTCTTTTAAAAATTATTTTAAAATAATAAATAACACAGAAAAAAATAAAAGATATTCTTTCATTTCTAAAAGCCTAAAATAGAGATTATTAAATTAATAATGAATTTTGAGGTATCTTCAATACGTAGTAAATCATTTCTTTGTTTCAGATTGATTTTCCAGCTACTGGGTGGGAGTATATAAAACCTGATTATGAAGAGACAAGAGCTCATCTTGAAGAACCACCAAAAGAGTGTTTAAAACATATTGCCAGACTTTCACAGAAACAATCTCCCTTATTGTAAGTGACCCAGGTCGTATGAGTGAATTTTGCCTGCTGTTTATGATGGTGACCTAGTCTTGTGAATGAATTTTGCCTGCTTTTTATGATGGTAACCTAGTCTTGTGAGTTAATTTTGCCTGCTGTTTATGATATCATCAATCATACTTAAAGGACACATATCTTCAAAGAGTGAGCCTTCCTTCCCATATAACTCTTTTCATTTCCTAATGTCACGCTTCTTGAATGATCAATTGATGTTTAGGAAGTAAATAAGTAATTTTGTATGCTTTTAAAGATTTTTTTTTTCCTGTGGTATTTAGCAACTTTAACTTTAGACTAAAAAAAAGCAAAAAGATTGGAAATCATTCAGTTCAAAATAACAAAGCAGAGAGTGATTAGATAAATATCATCATATAGCATTGATAAACCATTGCTTAATCATCCTTCAAGGAGGCAGGAAATTGTTTTAGTCAACCGGAAAAAGCAATATTTAGTTATCATGGCAGAATAAAAGAAGCACAAAAATAAATCATATTTAAATAGCACTAAATTAGTGACTAAGCAGTACTTTGTACAACAGCAATTCTCTGAATAAAACCGAAATCCCAGGAAGAACTGTAAGGGAATTAGTGTCATTTGGACTTCCTGCTTGGCAATATGCAAGTCACAGCTGGTTGTGCTCATTAATAACATGCCAAAGGCATAAAACTAAGAAAGTAACTTATATTGTTATAAGATATATAACATGATAACATTTTGTTTCGAGAGTGAGAAATTATTTAAAAGTTTTGAACGGGGGAAATATGTGATCACAAGACTCTTTTTGAGTGATCCCTTTGACTTCAAGTTGAAGAATGGATTGTACGGCGGTGAGAGTAGAAACAAGCAGCACAGCAAGGAGGTCAATGGATCATTTTAGGCAAGAGCTTGTGATGGCTGAAACGAAGATGATAGCAGTGGACATTGATGGAAGTGGCTAAAATTGGGAGAAATATTTTGGAAGTTGAGGAGACATGACTTGAGGATTCATTGGGATTAGGGAGGAAGTCGACTAAGAAACCAGGGAATCAAAGCTAAGTCAAGGAAGATTCCAAGGTTCTGAGCTGATCATCTGGGCAGCTGTTAAAGTCATTTTCTGGATGGAGGAATCCCATCCTGAGGCACTGAATGTGATCAAGAGTTTCGTTTTCAGTCATCTTGTTACTGCCCTGCTCAATAATTTCAATGCATATTACCCTTTTCCTCATTCACTTAAAGCCAGTGGCATCAGTCTCTCTCATATATTTCACATCTGCTAGTCCTGCTCCCATCTGAAGGCCTTTTATGTGGTGTTCCCTCTGCCTGAAATGCTCTTTCCTAAGTTTGTCACATGACAAAATCATCTCATCCTTTAGGTTTTCACTTAAATGTCATCTTCTAAAAGAGGCCTTTTTTGACCATGGCTAATGAAGTCTTTTCTCCCTTTACTCTCTAGCATATACCCTTTGTGTGAACACAGCTATTATCCTGCTCATTCAAGTGTCTGTTCCTTATCCCCCTCATTAATGTGTAAGAACTGGGAAAGCAAAAATCCTATGTTTGCTATCTTGTTTATAATTATGTTTCCAGCGCTATAAAGTGTGGTCCCCAACCACCGGACCATGGCCTATTAGGAACCAAGTGCACAGCAGGAGGTGAGCAACACAAGGGAGCAAAGCTTCATCTGCATTTATAGCCGCTCCCCATCACCTGCATCACCGCTTAAGCTCCGCCTCCTGTCAGATCAGCAGCAGCATTAGATTCTCATAAGAGCGTGAACCCTACTGTAAACTGTGCATGCAAGGGATCTAGGTTGTGTGCTTCTTATTATAATCTAATGCCTGATGATCTGAGGTACAGCTAAGGCAATGCTGCCAGCAATGGGGAGCAGCTGCAAATACAGATTATCATTAGCAGAGAGGTTTGACTACACAGAGACCATAATAAATCAATTGCTTGCAGACTCATATCAAAACCCTACCAGTGAGTGGCAAGTGACAATTAAGCTGCAGGCTTTATAGTGGCAAGTGAGAAACATACTTTGGGTGTCACTCCCATCACTCCCAGATGGGACTGTCTAGTTGCAGGAAAACAAACTCAGGGCTCCCGCTGATTCTGCATTATGGTGAGTTGTATAATTGTTTTATTATATCTAACAATGTAATAATAATAATAGAAATAAAGTACACAAGAAATGTAATGCACTTGAATCATCCTGAAATTATCCCCACTCCCTAACCCCCATCTGTGGAAAATTTGTCTTTCATGAAACTGGTCCCTGGTACCAAAAAGATGGGGGACTACTGTGATATGATGTGCCTGATAAATAATAAGTATAAAACAAATATGCTATAAAGACTGAATTGCCCTTGCATAGCTTTTGGAATAAAAGGTAACCTTAAGAACTGGAGATGGTAGAAGTTTCTCATAGTCCTCGTGAGATGTATATTGACAATCCATTGTCATACTAGACTACTGTCATCTTAAGTAGGTAAAACAGCTTTTTCTAAATCTTACTCAAAACTATAAAGTCTTACATTTAACATCTGTGTCACATATAAAAAGCTAATATATTTTTAATGAGAGATGTTTTGCATATGAAAAAGATGCAATGCTTTGAAATTTTGAACATGTTCAAACAAAAAAGGTCAAAACTAATAAATAATAACCACAGTAACTATCATTAAATATTAGAAGTTTGTGTGTTTAAATTAACCTCAGGGAATTCTACTTGTTGCATACTTCAGTTTCTATTTAAGTTAATAATATACATAAAATAAGCATCATTTTCCTCTGTTTTACCCACACAAACACAATTATTCATGTTAAGTACAGTACCGCACAGTTTTTTTCTAGACCATGAAAACAGATGGAGGACAGCTTTCAATGTGGTAAAACTTACATTAGAATCAGAATAACCTCAGTTTCCAAATACCACATTTTATCATTTAGTTGGTGGCTTAATTATTCCTTCTTTCAAATTCATCAAACAACCAAAAGAGGGCTTTCAAATATGAACAAGACCCCAGAATGGAAGATACAAAAGCATTTTGTTTTGAAAGAAGTGAATGCTTTTCCTTCTAACATAAAGAGTACCTAGTATTAGACTAGTATCCCTTACTTAAAGAATTATAACAACAACAAAAAATAAATTTGAATTATCTGTTTTCAGAAATTGAACAAAGGGCTTGAGGTAAGCCTCATGATTAAAGTGTTTTTCAGCCTGAAAACACTTTCTACACCTTGTTCGTCCTACAAGGTTCTGGGAAAGAAAACCAAAGAAGAATATGCAGGTCTTCCTGAGATTTAAGAAAAAAAGAAGAAGAAAAGGCAGAAATCAGAGTCCAATGAGGTTGCTTAAAATCTTTAGAGATTTTAAGGGAACAATCTTTCCCCAGTTTCATTACTGGGGAAAAGGAAGATGGGCAGAATAGGAGCTACGGAAATCTGTTGTGAGGTCTCCTTAAATATGTACTTGAGTACTAAGCTACTCGTGAGCAGGTAGAGATTTTCCAGAGCCTGGATGAGAACCGGTACAGAGGGTGTAAATAAAAGTAGATGTGAAAGGTTGTGCAGTGCTGGAAGACATAGAAATTCTGACCAGTTAAGAATATAGAAAGCTCACAAAACATCCCAGACATGTAATAAAGAAACCAGAAAAATGCATGTTAGGATTAAGTCTACTCTAGCCCTGGATTTGGAACTATATTAGTCCCAACCTAACAAATCATAAACGCAAGTCTCAAAAAGATCAAGCTGATCTTCTAATAATTAAACTGGCTACTAAAATATTTGAAAGCTTTAACACCCAAAAGATAACAGAATGCTGACTCTCAACAACATAGCATTCTAAATGTCTAGCATGCGACCAGTAATTGGAAAAATTATTGGGAAGAATCAGGAAAATATTACCATGGCCTAATTGCTCAGGGGAAGGAATTAATAGAAACAGATTCAGAGAATTTTCAACTGGCAGATAATGATTTCAATACAGCTATTATAAAGACATTTAATGATGTTTTAAAAAGATATGTATGAGTGAACAAATGAAGAGTCTCAATAAAGAAATGGAAATTTAAGAATCGAAAACACAATATCTAAAATATTTGATTTAAAAAATATCATTGAATGGGCTTAATAGATTGCTTAATGCAGAAAAAAAAGGAGTAAGCTTGAAGACAGAGCAATAGAAATTATCCATGTTGAGATACAAAAAAAAAAAAAAGTCCTGAAACTAATGACAAAGCCTCATGACCTGAAGGACAATATCAAGCAATATAAGACACAGGTACATCAGACACACCTGGAAGAGTGAAGTGTTTAAGCAAAAAATAATTTAAAAGATAGCCAAATTTTACGAATTTAATTTAAAAAATCAACTTATAGGTATATAAAGCTTAGTAATGCCTAAGCAAACGCACACTCACACAGACACATACACACAAGGACCACCTACATGCATTATAGTCAAATTACTGAAAACTAGAGATAAAGATAAAAACTTAAAACATCAGAAAATGATGAACAAATTGCATATAAGGAAACTACTGTAATATGAATGTGACAATATTATGTATAATATTAACTTCAAGCTTCTCATCAGAAACAGAGCAAGCTAAAATATAGTAGAATATTATCTTTGTGTGTTAAAAAAGGGAAAGAAACTTTACTTAGAGTTCTAGTAACAGTAAAATTATATTTCAAAAATGAAGACCAAATGGAGACATTTTCAAGAAAATGCAGCTGAGTTAATCTACTGTCAGTTCATCTGTCCTATAAGAAATCTTAAAAGAAGCACTTCAAGCTGGAAGAAAATGACACTAGATGGAAACTCATAACTTATTCTTAATCTATAAGAATAAATGAAAAGCACCAAAAATATAAAACAGGTAGATAAATAAAAATGCTTTTATTTATGTATTTATTAATTTTTTTAAAAGTGGTTAACTAAAGCAAAGTGAATCACAATATATTGATTGGTTTATGATACATAAAAATAAAATTTATAAGGATTTCCATAAGAATGAGAAATGTAAAAATGGAAGTATGTAAGGCAATATAATATGAATTCATGGTTGATTGTAATATGCTGAAACAGAATATCCTAATCTCTAGAAAATCCATTACCCCCCCCCAAATTTTAAGAATACATTTAAAAGTCAAGAAGAAGACAAAAATGAACTACAAAAAAAAATACTCAATTCAAAAGGACACCAAAAAAAAGGAGGAAAATAGTCCAAGAACTGGTTTGAACAAAGAAAAACTCATAGCAGCACAATGAGTAAAACCTAATCATATCAAGATGACATTATGTGGAAAAGAACTAAAATGCCAATTAAAAGGTAGAAATTGTCAGCCTGCATTATAAAAGCAATATCTAACTTTATGCTGTTTGTAAGGCACATATTTTCAATATAAACAATTAGAGTAAAAGTAAAAAAATGAGAAGATTTACCAGGAAAATTATGTCAACTTGATAGACTTGAAAAAAAATCATTTGATAAAATTCATCTCAGTTATGATAAAAACTCACAAATCTGGAAATAGAATGGAACTTTCTCAACTTTGAAAAGTGATCTATGAAAAATATATAGTTAATATGTTAAATCATGCAAGAATGAATACATTTCCTCTAAGACGGGAAACAAAGCCATAACATCTGCTCTAAACATTAATCTTTAATGTTATGGTAGAAGTCCTAGCCAATGTACTCTGTGAAGAAAAAGAAATTTTAAAAATGTAAAAAAAGAAAGAAGTAAAACTATTTTCATATAATGTGTTTATGTAAAGGTCATAGTATTTGAGATCAATGTACAAATTGTAATTCTATTCTAGTAAAACATAGAAAATAAATTATATTTTGAAATTTTATTTATTATGTTCAAAACTTCTACATTAAAAAGTACAAAGTTTTTGCTGAGGGAAATTAAAGAAAACCTAAATAAATACAAGACTATCCTATGTCCATTGATTGGAAGACTCCTGTTATTAAGATGACAATTCTCTCCAAACTGATCTGTAAATAAAATGTAATCCCAATGAAAACTTCAGCAAGATTTTATAGAAATTGAAAAGCTGATTTCAATATTTATATGGAAATGCAGAAGACCTAGAATAGTCAAAGCAATCATGAAAAAGAAGAATAAAATTTGATTTCATGACTCATATGAATTCATGTGCTATAAATTTTCAGCAATTAGAATAGTGTTGTATTGGCCCTAAGATAGACAAATAGATGTATGGAATAGAATACAGTGCAGAATAGAGAGCCTTGAGCCCCATTTGCGTGTTCAATGTATTTTTGACTAAGCTGCCAAAGCAATAAATAAAAAACGTATCTTCAGCAAATGGACAAATAAATGCCCTTATGAAAAAAAAAGGAACCAATGTCTACCCCACATTAATAAAAATTAATGTAGCATGGTTTATCATTCTAGATATGAAATCTAAAACTACAAAGCTTTCAGAAGAAAAACAGGGAATGAATATTAGGTTAGGCAAAGCTTTCTTAGACAAAGAAAGAGAAAGTAATAACTATAAAAAATTTATATTTGGACATAATCAAAATTTAAAACTATTCAAAAAAGGCACCATTAATAAGATGAATAGGCAAGCCACATTCTGAGAAAAATATGTGCAAAACATTTACATGACAAAATTATTGTATACAGAGTATATAAAGAAATCATGCAAATGAATCCAAACAATCCAACTAAAAAGTAGAAAAAAGACTTGAGTAGACATTTCAAAAAATATATATAAAGAAATAGTGTATGAAAAATTGCCTAGACATTGCCTAGATTGCCTAGACATCAGACATATGAAAATTAGAACCACAATGATATACAACTATACATCCATTAGAATGGATAATATTATATAGACAAAATTAGGAGTTGGCAAGAAGGTGGTGCAAATGAAACTATCATACTCTGTTGGTAGTAATGTAAAATTTTACAACTACTTCAGAAAATACTTTCACAGTTTCTTCTAAAGGTAAACACCTGACATATAACCCGATCATTCCTCTCCAAGGTATTTCCTAGGACAAATGAGAAATACATTCATACAATAATGCACATACAAATGTTCATAGCACCTTTATTCATAATACCCCCAAAAAGGAAACAACCCAGATGTCCATCAAATAGGAGAATGGATGGCAAATTGGGGTATATTCATACAAAGTAGTAATATTCATTAATTAAAAGGAATGAACTCTGGTATACTCAACAATATGGATAATTTCTAAATATTATATCTAATGAAAGAAGCTATAAAGGTATTTACTCTATGATTCCATTTATGAGGTTCTAAAAAAGCTAATATTAATCTAGAGCAAAAAAAAGTCATTCCAGTGCTTGCCTCTGATGACAGGAAAAAAACTGTTTAATGTCTTGATAGGGGTATGGTTGTTATCTGGTATGTGCATTTGTCCAAATTTATTGAACTGAATTTGTGTATTTCCTTTCACATAAATTATGCTTCAGTAAAAGAAGAGGAAAGCATTGTTTAAGTGTTGGAGAAAAAAGGAATTTAATCAGAACAAAATTTGCTTTAGTAATTTTATTATGGATATTTTGTCTTCTGAGGGTCTTTTGGTGGGAAAGGTGGTAAGAAAACATATGAAAAGAACCTAAACATACCTTAAAAATCATCTATAATCCAATCTTTTCATTTTACAAATGAAGATGGTTTCAAAAGTAATTGTAGAGACATTGACCTTTAAAATATTTTAATATTTCTCATTAGCCTTCTCAGAAGTTGAGGCTGATTTAAGCTGAGCAACAGTGTGGACTTGGAAGAGACAGTGTTCAAACGCCATTGTCATGTGAAATAAGTTGTCCTACAATTGAACTGTGGCTCTGAATACTTCTGCCGGGAGTGTGAGCAAAACATGATAAATTGTCAGGAAGTCAAGGCCCCTAGTCCTAGATCTAGATCTTCTGTTTCAGACCACTCTGCCCAGGGAAACACTTGAATATCTAAGAAATTAGCATCCCTGACATTTTCACCCCAACATGCCATGAACTCTGCAATCTTAAAGAAGTAATCCAGGGATGAATTGAAATCTTTGTTTTTGAAGTTAACAAGAAAGAGTTTTCTGAACTCTGATGAAACTTGCTTTGAAATGAAAAAAAATCGCAACATTAAAATATGTCATTTCTTCACAGCCCACTTGTATCTAAATTAATTTGTAAAGAAAGTAAGAGAGTAAATGATGGATTATCTCTGTTCTAAACAGAACATGTTTCAAGATTCAGATAAACTTGGTCTGCCCTAAAGGAGACAGAGATTTTGCCAACCAAAATGACATATTGAAAAAAGTGGCAAGGATAGAAGTGAGGAAAAATAAATGGGAATTATCTGAACTGAATGTTTATTATTCTTTTTCTACTAAAGAATAAAGTTTATAGGAAATAAATTGATAAAATAACCTATCAAACTGTCCCAAGAAGATAAAGAGCGTATTTTCCAAAATAAACTAAAATAAAATTCAAAGAACGACAGTAAGGTTTTGTGCTGTGTATTTACAGCAATATTTATTAGTGCAGCAAACTCTAGTAAATTACACTTTCCAATCTGGTTTTTCAGACTCTCTGAGGAAAAGAGAAGATACTTATGGTTTTATCGCTCCTACTGCAATAGTGAAAACTGCTCCCTTCCTTTGGTCCTGGGTAGTGCCCCTGGATGGGATGAAAGGACTGTTTCAGAAATGCATACGATTTTGAGAAAATGGACATTTTCTGACCCTTTGGAGGTACTCGGGCTTTTAACTTCCAGGTAAGAATTGCATAACAAGCATGATATTGCTGATTAAGAAGAACTTGTTTGAAGAGAAAAAGTATAGGACTATATAATTAATTCAGTAGCTATTCTGTTTGTTCTCAATTTCAATAGCTGTGGATATTAATTTTAGATAAATGTAAGCTATGAATATAAATTTTAAACAAATCTAAGCTATAATCGTGTCTCTTGTACTAAACGTGCGGTATAATTCATGGCCATAGTTTCTTACGTGAAGAGCCCAGTTCTTACAGAAATAACAGAATAGATAAATAAATAGGCAAAAATAAAAAATTCCTACTTCTCTCAAAATAAAAAAGCTCTTAAAAATCGGGACCATTTCTTTTACTATTGAAGTGTGCAAAGTTTAGCAAAATGCTCTGCTTCTAGTAGGTGTACAATTAATACACTTATGATGATAAGAATAAAAGAAAAAATATATCACTTATATGTTCTCCAGATCCTTTCTCAGAATAAAATGCGCGGGGCAGCAGGAGTTGGACTAATGATTAATGATGTCTTCTTGTTAAGGACAAGCATCTAGGAGTAACTGAGCTGGCTGTAGTTCAGAACTATCAGCTCTTCCTTGGCTTCCCTTTTATATTCAAAGCCAAGAATAGGTATTGTAAGTCTGTCTTGATAGCAGCAGCTCACTGACACCATGGATAAAGTCTGTAATCTCTAGAGCCAGGCAGAAATTGTGAAATTCAGCTCTATTCTGAGTCTGCTCTCAAAGACCTGAGGGAAGGAGAAAGTGGGGAAATGTAGTGACACAAAGAACTTTCAAAGTGACTTGTTTAAGTTTATTTACAAATTTGTGCCCTTCATAAAACTTCTGGGGTTGGTAGAGGGAGAGAGGGTTATTTTTTTCCCTCCTTCTATTATTTGTAAGAGTTACTAGCTTCTTCTCAATCATTCAAGCTCAACATTTGTACATATCTTTTGTGTCCCTCATATAGAAGATTTTATTAGTGTTGTGGCTTCTTCCATTATCTAATATGTGCTCAGATGCCTACTTCTTCCTTTATATATGTAAAGGAGTATATATATATATATATATATATATATACACATATATATTTTCTATTATTTGATCTTAAAGCTTTTCCCTTGTTTAAGTCATCTGTGGAGCCTTCCCTGACCTTGCCATGTGTAATTGATCACCTCTGCCTAATACACTACTCTATTGCTTTAGGAATTGCATTGTACTACAGCATGCTTACAAGCAACATGTAAAACGTGTGTATTTTCATCCACATTAGAATCAGAGCTACTCAAGACAAAACAGATAATCTCAGTCAGTGTTTTTGTTTCCCAAGGACTTAAATAATACCTGGCATGTAGTAACTGCCCAATATTGAATCGATCACTTTCTAAAATACATTATGATTATTTGTATATTATTTTACCATTTAAATTATAAGCCATTTGATAACATTATCTATTTTCTTCATTTCATACATCACCTGTAGAGTTGAATTAATTAATGAAATAATGATATGGTAAGAGAATCAATTAACAATTGATTTGTTTCATTGGGATCATTCACAGTTCATCCTGCTAGTGTTCAAAGATCCTTCTGGAAAAGGCAAGTTTTCATTGCTACCTTAATCTTAACCTATTTTTCTGAATAAGATACATAAGAATAGCCAAAATCTGCAAAATTATTATACTAAATTCTAGTTGTTTTTTGGTGAAGAAAAACTTAGACTATCAGCATAATTATTTTGTCATTCTTGAATTGCTTAGCTCATAGAGTTAGTTCAAAATGTGACAATAACAACAGTGTAAGATAAAATATTGGCAAATCATTGATTTGATAAGGTATCAGGGGTTCTCAATGGCCCCAATATAACTGGTCCCCGGGCAGTGTGCATTGCAAGATGTGGGAGAGACAAAGTAAGTTGAAAGGGTGCAGGGAGGTCAGGGGACCACCAGCATTCCTGTGAGCCAGGTAGTACTGACTGAAATCTAGCATCCTTTTTTATTCTCTTTTTCATGTTATAGATTACAATGATTTCATGTGAGTTAGCAGTAAAGCGTATAATCCAAACTTGAACAAAGAGACCATGTACTTCTTTCTACTTTGTCTAATTCCTCATTTACTGAGACATGAACTCAAGAGAGAGATAGGAATATTGTCTCAGGGTTAAATTGCAAACTACTGTTATTTGCTGGGCTGAAATCCTTTGATCATTCTCTCTGCCTTCAGATTAAAAGCCTCTCACTTTGCTGACATCCAGGTTGTAGCCCTCAGGCTTCAAGGCAGGGTCCGTTTGCAGACATCCCTGATCAGTGGAATGTCCCCCTCAAGGTCAAGCAGCTTTTGCTTAGTGAACTGATATTTCCACAGGATGCTCTTTGGCAAAGTCCTGTCCCATTCCTGGGGTTCTCATGTCTTGACCCTAACCCTCAACAGTAAAGGAACTGTATCCAAAATGTATAAAGACTCTTAAAATTCAACCACAAAAGAAAAATAACCCAATTTTAAAAATGCACAAAGGATATAAATAGATATTTCTCCAAAGAAAATATACAAATGTGCAATAAGCATGTGAAAAGATAATCACCATCATTAGCCATTAGGAAAATACAAATCAAAACCACTTGAGATACTATTTCATATTCATTAGGACTGACTGTAATCAAAAAAGACAAAAAAATGAGAAGTGTTGGTTAGGATGTGAGGAAATTGAAAACCATTTATCACGAGTGGGAATGAAAAATGGTACCACCACTTTGGAAAAACAGTAGAGTATTTCTTCTTCTTCTTCTTTTTTTTATTTTTTTCTGAGACAGAGTCTCACTCTGTTGTCTGGGCTAGAGTGCCATGGCATCAGCCTAGCTCCCAGCAACCTCAAACTCCTGGGCTCAAGCAATCCTATTGCCTCAGCCTCCTGACTAGCTGGGACTACAGGCATGTGCCACCATGCCCGGCTAATTTTTTCTATATATTTTTAGTTGGCCAATTAATTTGTTTCTACTTTTAGTAGAGACAGGGTCTCGCTCTTGCTCAGGCTGGTCTCGAACTCCTGACCTGGAGTGATCCACTTGCGTTGGCCTCCCAGTGTGCTAGGATTACAGGCGTGAGCCACTGTGCCCGGCCAATTTTTTAAATGTTAAACATAGAGTTACCAAAAGACCCAACAATTTTACTCTTAAGTGAAAACTCATACTTAAGTAAATACTCATACTTCATTTAAATTTAAAAAGTGCCCATTCAAAACTTTATGCACAAATGTTCATAGCAGCATTATTCATAATAGCCAAAAAGTAAAAATGTCCATCAGCTAATGAATGGATAAATAAAATGTTCTCTATCCATACAATATAATACTATTCAATAAAAAAAAGAAATGAATACTGACATATGCTACAACATAGATGAACTTTGAAAACATGTGAAAGAAGCCATTTACAGAGACCACATATTGTATGATTCCATTTATATGAAATGTATAGGATAGGCAAATCTACACAGACAGAAAGTCAATCAGTGGGAGCCTAGGGCTAGGACAGGTTAGGAGGATTGAGGAATGATTGCTAATGAGTATGAGATTTCCTTTGTGGCTTTTTTTTTTTTTTTTTGCACAAATTTGGGAACATGCCAAATTTAGGAACATGCCAAAACCATTGAACTGTGCACTTTAAATGTGGTAGATTATATGGTATTTCAATTACATAATAAAGCTATTTAAAATATTTGAGAAAATATTGTGAAGGTAAAATCTATGAATCTATATAGTATCTTTAAAGAATAATTTCTAACGGACTAGGCCGGGTGCTCATGCCTGTAATCCTAGCACTCTGGGAGGCCGAGGAGGGCGGATTGCTCGAGGTCAGGAGTTCGAAACCAGTCTGAGCAAGAGCGAGACCCCATCTCCATTAAAAATAGAAACAAATTAATTGGCCAACTAAAAATATATAGAAAAAAATTAGCTGGGCATGGTGGCACATGCTTGTAGTCCCAGCTACTAGGGAGGCTGAGGCAGAAGGATCGCTTGAGCCTAGGAGTTTGAGGTTGCTGCGAGCTAGGCTGAAGCCACGGCACTCTAGCCCAGGAAACAGAGCAAAATTCTGACTTAAAAAAAAAATTTCTTTAAGGGACAATTTTCTAAAATTTAAAGTGCATGAAATGTCTTACAAAAATCTTTAGTAGAATGGAGATTATAATACTGCTTCATTTACTCACTTATAAAATGAAGGAATTAGCTAGATAAATTTCAATATTCTTTGATCCCTGATAACTAAGTATAATTCTGCTTATAGGGAGCCTTCTTTAACTAAACAGATCTTGAAAATATATTTAGCTCACTTAATAGTTTAAATGTACAGATCAAATTTTTAGTTAGTGTCCATTGGTACTATCACATGTTAATGTCCATAATAACACTAGGAGACAAATACTATTTTTATTCCAATTGTATGTATGGAGAAACTGAGGCTTACTGTAGAGGTTAAGTTTCCCCAAGTGACCTAGTAAGTTGAAGATTTGGGAGTCCCATCCAAGCATTCATGAGAACTTCCAATCTTAACCACTATGTTTTACAGCTTTCCTATATAAACATTCGAGACTATTTACATATTAAATATATTGACTATCCTAAAGCAGTTTTTTTTTTAATTATACATAGCAGTGCTTAATCATTCCATCATGTTCAGATGTTTCTGTGTAATTTATTTTTTCCTTAAGAATCAGATTTTTTATAGGTTATAGGGACTGGTTTCAAAGTACATGGCTGTTTATTAAGCCTCATTCAGGGAACTTACTTGAATCTTGATTTATTTGTACACTGGAAAGTTCCTTATCACACACCAAATAAGGTCACTGAAAAGGTTGGAGTATTTCCATTGTACTCATCCTGTGACTCCCACTCTCAGCTTAACTGAACTATTAAAAACCTTGAGGACAAGCTGTTTCCAGAAATGAACCTTTCAACTCCTCTAAATTCAAAAGCTGACTTTTCTGAGAACAAACAGTATGTGCTTATTGAGTT